AGAATACAGCGCACTTGTGCGGATCTCGTCGCGCGTCTCCTCTCGCGACGCGTCTCGGAGCACGTGTCGTCGCGTCTTTCGTCGCGCCTTCTCCTTCTCACCCTCCTCATTAAACCTGCGTGCATATATGTGTGTATGCATGCGTGTGTGTGTGCTTGCGCGCGCGTTCTTCCCGCGGCTTCGCTCTCCCCTAGCCCCGCATCCTCCCTCGCCCATGGCCTCAGGTTCCCAAAGCTCGCCGCTGCGTTCGTGTACTTGCGTACACCGCGTATACGTTTTCTCTCGCGGAAAGGGGCGTACACGCACGGGGGGGTCGCCCTTCGGAAACGCGCGCGCAGGGGCAGCAATGCGACGGGCGGAGGGGGAAAGAGAGGCTCTCGCAGAGCGCGCGACGAGAGAGAGAGAGAGGGAGAGTCAGCGTGAGCGAGCGAGAGAGAGAGAACGCGAGGCAGGGACCGAGGAGCCGCGCTCGTATTGATCGGCCCCGGCCACGCGATTTTCACGATCCGTCGCCATGGCCACCTGGCCACCGGCCGAAGATCGTATCTCGCGACGTATGTATGTATGTACGCATGCACACACACACACGCATGTGTGTGCATACGTGCAAATCGAACTTTAACCCGCGAACTTTACTACCGAACGCGGCTGGGCCGGGGGTAAAGTTAGGCGCAACGTCCGTCCTTGTGGGACGAGCCGACAGGCTCGATGACGACACCCGACCTCGTCGGGAGGCTTTTTCCCTTCGACACTTGCCGCCGCGGGCACCTCGCCGTGCGTGCTTCCCTGCGAGAGAGTCGGGAAACTTCAGAACTTGGAAACGCCGCTCGGTTCGCCGAATGTACGGCGATTCGTCGGAAGCCCGGCACCGATTGGCTCGCGAGCGATCGATGCTTACACACACGGTTGTTACAGCCCGCTGCTAATGGTCGTGCCTCTCGATGCGATTTTCTGTTCCGAGGCGGAACAGCGCAATGAGATTTCGGACGTGTAAATATTGGATACAGATGACGCGGGGCGAAACGTCCGGTGGTGATAAACGGTGGTCGCTGTCCAATCATGCGACAGAGAGAGAGAGAGAGAGAGAAAGAGATACGCGTCGCTAAATTGAAGCAACGTAGCATTTACCAGAATAAAGCGGTATTTCCGTTCTATCGATTTCGCCAGATCGATAGTCCCGCTGCCGTTTCGAAATAACTCGCCGGTCATCTATTTTTCCCGTCGTAGCCGCAGTCTTGCGATGTCAACCGCAAACATTGTTTATATTTACGATGTTCACACGGCAAGTGACGCAATCATCACTTGCATCTGTCCAAGTCCCTCGCCCTAGTCTCCCGAATGTCGTCCTCAATTCAGCGAAAAAGACTGAACGGGCGACGCGCGCTCCCCGAGAGAGCTCGGCAAACTCGCGACTCTCTCGTTTGATCGATCGGCGGCAAACGCTCCGACGAATTTCTTCCCGAGACTCACCCTCGAGAGAATAATACTTCGGCGGAGCATAATTAAAAAAATCGCGAACCTTTGTCAGAAAGTTGCGCGACCCCCTCTGCCGCTTAATTAGCAGAATTATTAATCTCTCTCGCTGGATAGCCCTTCGATATAAGGGTGCGCATCGCCGCGTTATATTCGAAGCTTTCATTGAGGGTCGTGTCCGAGAAAGTTGCCCCTCGGGTGTGCGTGTCGTGTGTGCCACACACACACACATACGTGTCTGTGATCGCGTCCATTGTCATCCGGTAATGACGGCCGATGCGTCGAGAAGTCAGCGCGTAGAAACAAAGACAGAGAGAGAAAGAGAGAGAAAGAGAGAGTGAGTTTCGCGATACTTCTCCGACGCGACAATGGAGTCAGCCGCTCCACCCGCCGTACTATTGTCGGGTCCGAAAATATATCGCGATGGCGAACGCCGAGCGCGGATCGATAGCGAGGAAGATGCCGGGTTGCGATAAGCGCACCGCGACTTTTCTGTCTCTGCGAGCGACGCTTTTATCGCCTACGTACGTAAACAAAGGGGACGCGAGAATGCTCGGCCTCTCCTATATTCCGCGGACTACGGCATGCGGTTTCCTTCCTACGATCATTCGTTCCGTACCACGTAAACACACGTTACAGTCAAACGATTCTTTCCGCTCGCGACTTCGTCGCCGGCTTCCCCGAACTTTGAACTTCGAGTTTGCTCCACTTCGCGAGAGACATCGTGTGTAGGTGCCCTCGAATTGTCCGATTTTTCGCGAATCCCCATCGACGCGCGAGTTGCGACTAATTTAGAAACCGCTCGCGTGCAGTTTGCGATCGGTGAGTTACTGGCGAAAGGTCAACGAAAATTTCAGAAATAATGTTCGTTTCCGCACATCCCACGTCCGACCATTCACTCAAAAGCCGTGACTAGCAAACCAAATATTTTGACCACAAATCTTGCATACACAATACATAGTAAATACTAGAAAGTCGCAAAAGTTTGTCGGATTTTTAGCCATGTTTCTTTTTTTTTTTTAATAACAACAAAATATATATATTTAATCGAAGATCTGCTATCGTTCTGTTATCTGTTACTTTCCGCCGCCTTTGTACCAGAGATAATGTATTTAAAATATCATATCGCTTGAATATATTTAACTAGATAATATCTGATTTCACGTTTAAGGCGACTAAATTATCCGGCGAACTTCTGCGAACTCCTAATAATAATAATATCCCGAGTTAGTCGAAACGATCGACCGTGAGGTAGGAAACTTTCAACGTCCCGGAAATATTCCGAGTATTCCCGGGATCTCTATTATCTACCTGTCCGTCGGAGTCAACGGCTCGTCTGACAAAAAGTATATCAGTCTTGAAGCTCGACGACGCTTTCTTCGCACCTGCGGCGCCCGTATTTCCAAGTACAACGGAACATTTCCAGTCTATCTCGGATATTCAAGAGGCTAGCCATTCTGTGCGCATAACAAAAGCTATCTGTTACCCCGGGACACCGTGGACAGCTCGTTTAGGGTGGCAACCACCGCGGGTCACAGAACTGGCTGTGCCAGGGCGAAGGGAAGGGCTGGAGGGAAGGAGCCCTAAGGACAGCTGATGCCTACGTCGGTAGGGACGGCGGGTGGGGGGGAGCGAGGGGACGGAGACACCGAGAAGGGGGCGAAAAAGAGAATTAAAATATACGCCGGTGGCTCGTGCCGTCTGATAAATGTGCCATGGCGCTTGTGTGTGTGTGTGTGCATGCGCTCACGCGTGTGTATTTATTATTGTGTGTACGCGCGTCATGTGCGTGCGTGTGCTCGCCTTAACGGTGCCATGAGCACCGTAGCACCCTATATAGTAGCCACCACCACGTAATTCCCCTTCCTCGCTCTGCCTCTGTCTCTCCCTCTTTCGTTCTTTTTTCTCCCTTTACGCTCGGGTGCGCGCGCGCGCGCGCGTGTACCGGGTGTCCCGCGCGAAAGAGTTGCCGGGGCTCTCGAGTGCAGCGCGTGTACGGACGGATTCCGCAATTTGGTCGAAAATTCGTCATTGCTGTTACTCCCGAATTTGCGATCGAATTACCCTCGTAAGAAATTTAGTCGGATTCTCTCAGTCCTCCGGTTACACTCAAAGTTGAAAGCCGACGGACCTTTTTGCTCGGATTCAGCTTGGGACGGAGATTGTCTCGAAACTTTCTCGCTGTTACATAGTGTCGTTAGCCACTTACAATGGCGCGTGGCGTGGTGTTAACGATCAATATAATTTCGAATTAATTGTCCCGCTCCCACCGGGACGATAATGAGGCCGGCTGTTACGCGAATTCATAATTTATTCACGCCAGGAGCGCCAAGGGATAGTGCAGCAGGAGGTATTTCCTGCTTTCGAGCAGCGCGTAGGTGAACAAAAGGTCGTTGTCGAGAGAAAACTTGGTGTCTTTACCCTCCGTTATTCGTTATCGACTTGTCCAAGTCTCCGATTTCACTCCCACTCTTTAAACCTGTAGGTGTAGGTAAACAAAAACACCTGACGTGTGATCCGCTTTTCCTTTTAGCCCGGACTTTCCGTCTCTTCCGGCTCTTTAAAGGACAGCAGTCCTTTTAAAATCGTCCGCCCTTTCAGAGCGGCCGGGCCTTTCATACGAACACAAGTTTGTTTGTACTCTGCCAACCTTTCGTATCGTCGCGTTTCCAATGGAATATAATCAGTCTTACAACGGCGAATTTCGAGAGTATCACACATTTTCCAAACTTAAGCTTGCCGACCGTCGTTCTGTACGGGAATTTTTAAGTCGAGCTTTCTCACGTTCGGCGAATTATCATCTGAATAAAATTAACGCTGCGAGATATAAACTAACGGATTGTATTTCATCATATTCTCTCGAAATACATAAGATTTGTAGATCGGAGCAAAATGTCCATCAATTATCGCTCGGTGAATAAAAGGCATTGTTTCGCGCTCAGTTCGTCGTCTTGTAAAAGCCACAGTGCCGCGGTCGATTTTCATGAATTTTGCTTTATACGATCAAAGCATTCCTTACGGTCGTTCTTGCGTCGCGTTCATGCTAACTAGACTGCACAAAAACCCGAAGCCGCTTGAGACCTAAGCTGTGAGCGTCCGGGGACTTCTTGTGCATCGTTGTTTACTTATCCACGCGTTTTTACGTCCTTCGATATTTCGTGTTTACCACCTGTATTTATATCCGTGCCGTCTGAAGTTTCTTCCGTTGGCTTGTGACGAACTCGCTCGGTATTCGCTGTCTCCGCTTTACGAACAAGACTCCCCGAAAATCTCTTTAACGATCGTGCAGACTCGAACAAGCGAGTTTCGTAGCGACGTTTCCACGGGAAATTACGGGACGACGATGTACCAATAATGAGGAATTTAGTAAAATGTCCGATCGTTAGATATGATGTTAGAAGGGAGGAGAGGAAGAGAGCGAGATGTTAACCGCTGTTACGTAATAACGACTATAGTTGTAATGCCGTTGTCGTCACGATCACTTGGTTGGTCTAATATCCGGCGCGTTGTGTGTGTTTTGCTTGCAGATTTCGTACATAGTTAGATACGACTCGTTAGAGGATTGCAATGATGGCGAACGGAATGGACACAGTCGTTCAACAAAACGGAGGATCGACCCTCGGACAGACCTCGCAGGAGGAGTCAAAGACGAATCTCATCGTGAACTACTTGCCGCAGAGCATGACACAGGATGAGATTCGCTCTCTGTTCTCCAGCATAGGCGAAGTCGAAAGCTGCAAGTTAATCCGTGATAAGCTCAGCGGTAAGCATTATTAGAGCGGCGGTAAGTTCCGCATGAGCGGCTAAACAGTCCGATCTAGTAGACTTGCGTTGCTAACGAAAAAGTAAAATGAAAAGAACAATATTTATGTATATACATAGATAAAGAAGAGTTACGACAAGTTTTGTCGCGATTCAACAGCTGTGAACGGTCGAGATTACTACCAGTTTCTGATCGACGATTCTCTGTAGTAAAAACAAAGTTTGTTTCTAAAGGGGCCCTTTTATTTCGCGTGTATCACGCTGCGAAAGTCGCGTTCATGTAAGCGCTAGGCCTACAAATCCCCCGCTGATGAAACATTTCGCGCGACCTATCCGCGTTGCCTGTAATCCGCGTATGCATAATTTAGTGTAATTCGGTGGTGGCCGTACGTACGTGTGCGCCGGGTATATATTCCGTGCAGAGTGGCGGCGAGCACGTGTATAGACGTGTTGCGGCGCTATTTCGAGCGCGAAGAGAGCGGGGGCGGCGTTTGGTTTGAAGATTTGCCGCTTTATGCTCGACCTCACGACAGAATCACAGTACCGTATCACGTGGTCCGCCGTGTATCTCGTGATCGTCCGAGGAGAATTCTTTTTTTTTTTCCCGTTCCGGAAACACACGTGCTTGCGTTCTTCTCCCCTTGTAAATTTTCTTCTTTTCTTGTTTAATTAGTTTCAGAAATTGAATATGAATAATACCACCCGGCCCCGTTGATCAGCTTGATTTCGGTTATTTCGGTGCCGAGATGCTCGGCACGAAAGAGAGACCGATATTATCTTCTCGGAGGAGGCGAAAAATACTCGAGCGCGTACATTCTGGTAGTTCCGGTGCTTTAGGCATTTCGCCAAGTAGCTCGTTGATATATTTGCCACCACCGCCATTCATAAAATTGATTCCGGCGCGTATCGGGGAAATTAAAGTTGGCGTTACGCGTCCACTATTTCTTCAATGCTAGTCAATAGGACAGACGTGAGAGGTGAAGCTACCTCGCGCGCGGAAACCCGTTGACGTCGTTAAAGGAAACGTTTAATCGAGAGCTGCAACTTCCGAAACGCGTTGGCTGCTGCAGTCCGCGTTACACGGATACGTGGAAGCGTGTGTTTAGAAGCGGACTCTTCGCACGTATATGTATCGAAGAGTGACATCGAACACTACGCTACTTGCTCTCTCAATTTCATGGAATCTTCACTTGAATCGTATGAAAATCCATTCAAAGCGACACCGAGAATACCCCGCCACGCGAAATCACGAGAGTGAATATTTAATTCAAACAGAATGCGATCCTTTTCTTCATCCATACGAATGGATGTTTCGATCGATCGGGAGAATTTATTCTTACGAAATGTGGACTACGATAATATTTAAGCGACCTCTTCAATTTTGAAGTGGAAATGTTCACTCGACGATTCACGGTGGATGATTTCACTCGAGGTAATTTCGAAAATCGACCGTGTCCGATGCGCCGAATTCCGCAACCCGTTTATCATTGATAGCAACGGCGAAGCGTCGTCGTCGTACGATATTCATTGAAGCCCGCTGCTCTGTTTGCAGGTCAGAGTTTGGGTTACGGTTTCGTCAACTATCACCGGCCTGAAGATGCTGAAAAGGCTATAAGCACGCTCAATGGTCTTCGTCTACAGAACAAAACGATCAAGGTCAGTAGACTGTGTCAACGCCAGCCCTTTTAAAAGTACGTCTTCCTTCGATTCGTGCCGGTGTCGATTCCTCGTGACAATGCGTGAAAAAAATCTCACCTGAGTATCCCGACGAATTAATCAGACTCAATATTATGTTTAAAGGTGTTTAGTCGATTTCTGCAATCAATTCTTGTGTCATAATGCAGAAAAGATATTTCCGACAGATCAGAGCGTCGGCAATGTTAACTATCGATACTGCAGCAACCGATAGTCTATTTCCGAGCAGCCGCCTACATTGTAAAGCGCACAATTCGATTTCTCGAATGCTAAATGCATCTACGCGAGCGTGTAACACGGCAATGCAGCAATATAAATAGGCTGGCCTGGATTCGGGCGGGTTTTATCGTGCGGGTGGAAATAAAGCGATGATTATCGCGCGCTGGGGAGAGCATGTTACCCCTCCCCCCTCCCTTGTCTTTTTTTATCTCCTACTTTCGCAATGACGCGTGTGAGGACGACATGTACGTCGATGATGCTTATCTGGCCGTTTTCGCATTTTGGGCGAATCGATATTTTCCGAGAGACTGAAATTATCACAAGACTCGTGTATCTTTATGTTTCTTCTCCTTAGGCGAAGCCTTATTCGTACGCTTTTATAATTGTAGCACAAATTGTGTAACCGTCAGCACTTCGTTCTCGGCTACAAATGATATCGCTTTTCTTTTACATATCAAAGGGCATTAACCCTCGTATATAGTAATTGAGCAAACAAGTAAATATTTGATTGGGTTTTGTTTTACTTCACTGTTTTCAGGTATCGTACGCGAGACCGAGCAGCGAGGCGATCAAAGGCGCGAATCTTTACGTAAGCGGCTTGCCGAAAAATATGGCGCAGCAAGATCTGGAGAATCTCTTTAGTCCATACGGCAGAATCATCACGTCGCGGATACTGTGCGACAACATCACCGGTAAGTCCTGTGAATCGTTCATGTTCCGATGTTTTCCGCGATCTCGCCGCGGCGAAGGTTTCCGTCGTGCTCGAGGTGAAAGAAAGAGGACGACACGCGCGATTCTCACACCTCACGTGAGTCTGTTTTTTCCGCAAACGAGAATTCTCGTCGTAAAATCAAAGGAAAAGAAATTGTTCTCCGGCGAAATCAATCTCTGGGGTATCTGGAGTTAACTCGAAGTCGCGAGCTTACACACACACTCTCTCTCTCTCTCTCTCTCTTTCTCTTTCGCGCGGAGACTCGCTTCGGATCGCGGCGAAGCGAGGGAGATTTTCGCAATCTCGTTGATCAGCTCGCGATCCGCCAAGGAGCGTGATCTCGCTTGAGACGACAACGAGACGATCGGAAGCCTCCGATTAGAAAAATCTCAAGCGAGACTCGATGCGACCAGATCAGGTGCGTAGGCCATGGGGCGTTAGGGAGCATCGTCTCTGTGCAGGGTGGGTCGGTGCGCCACGAACGACGAAACGTTAACGCGCGATACAGATGCAACGTGGAACGATGCGATTCTCGATCGATGGCGATGATAAAGCGACACGACGGACCGACACTCGTGCGAAAGCATAAAGACGAGAGAGCGTCGTCGTGTTGTCGGTTCTATCCGTTTTCCCCGCGGTTTCCTCTCGCTGCTGCTCGCGCGCACGCTTCCCGTCGCTCGTTTCCTCGTCGGAGGAGGAGGAAGAAGGCCGCCGCAGGACCTTCCGAGAAAAATCCGAGCTTTTCCGCTGCGAGCGCGAGAAAACTTCGTTCTCGAGGAGAGAGCCCACACGTATTGTTTTTTTTTTCTTCCGACGACGGTGACGATGAATTTTCAGTTCACTCGCTTTTCAGTTCACTTCACCCCCTTCTACCCCGAGCTGGATTTTCTTTGCTGCGTCCTTGGTTGTCCGTTGCGAATGCTCCTGCTACCCCGGCTATCCAGCCCAGTTGCACGCATAAAAAGCCCCTCATGGCCTTCGCCAAGATCTTGATTTCGTTTCGCTTCCTCCACCGCGCTCAAAACTCGCAACTCACCACCGCCCACCTCCCAACACGCCGGCCAACCCCCGGAACACTCCGACGCGCACTCGTCGTCGTTGCCAGTCTTATCCCACACGTCGACCGCTCCCCCACACGTTATCATTATCGCCCCCGTTTACCAGTCCCTTGCCATCGACCCTCCTCCCTTCACAAACGGCATCAGGCTTGCTTTGTTTTTGTTGTTCGGGACGGACTTACGTTCAGTCGACATCATCGCTTTTTCCCTCGCATTTTCCCTTCCAACCGAAGCAAAACCGGTACGTCCAAAATTCTCCCCTTTCTCTCCGCTCCTCCTCCCACTCCACCTTTTGGCGCTCACGCTTTTTCTACGATTAAGGAGAGAGACCCGAAGTAGTAGCGTAATTTATCCACGAAGTTCGCTCGCCCCTTATTCGCCCCACGCAAGTCGTCGGTCAGTTTGTTTTATCTTCGCGACGTCTTCATCATCCACTGTCCCTCGTCGGCGCGAGGCCTTCATCAGCCGCGAAAAGCAACGCATACCGATCAGCAGACAACGACGTGGCGGAGTAACGTAGCCGGAGCGGAATAAATAAGAAAAAGAAAGTGGGTTATTGATTATCTGCAAATTTATTCGTTATTTTTGTATTCTTCTATTCTCTCGTTTCTCTTTTTACTCGAAACCCGTAGCTTTATGATTTCTGAATGTTGTATTCGCTAGTTATTTCCGAGCATGAGTTATTTCGATCACCTTGCCAGGAATTCACTTTGCAAGCAACATTAATAGATGAATATACTAGTCGAGGACCTTAATTTGAAATGCATCTAAATTTTGCAGAAAATGAAGAAATTTCGCGATTATCAAGTTCGATCTTTGAACTTTGCACTCGGCAGAGCATGAATCGAGGACACGTGGATTTTTTGTTATTTTAGATTGAACGCTGACGGACGCGAGGTTGTCGTTGTTTTCATTTTGCATTATCTTCGCGCCCCCCC